GTGGTGAAAACGTTTGCTTGTGAGTACATATATCCCTTGTTTTATTTATCTTAATAAACAATTTTACACACTGAGGTGACGATCTGTTCCCTTTTGTTTTCTATGTGGAGATTAGTATCAGGATTATTGAGATAATATGGAACATCCGGGCTCCCTGGAGCTGGAGATCACGGGGGCTTTATCTGCCACCAGCACGCCGCCAGCCATGTCTGCACGGGGTGATTAGGGTGTGCGCACGCCTAGGCACTCAGACATTTTGTCGGACATAAATGCATAAATAGTCACCCTCACACCAAGGTCCAATGTATCGGGAATTCACATTTATAAAATTCACATTTTATTCACATGCCAAGAATTCATGGTACCACGGTTAATGGTCCCTTCATCAGGCATAGTGACACTATGTTTGGCCACTATGTGTGGCTGATGAAGGGACCATTAAATGTTCAGAAACATTGTTGTTCACAAGTGGTACCATGTATTCTTAGCGTCTGAATTAAAGGTGACCATTTATGTATTTGGATTCATGCAGAGCCTTCCGCAGGTCATTCCAGCACTCATTTGAAAATATTGGGATCCCGGTCCAAAGTGCGATGGGAAGTATGCTGTTATTGTCACTAGGGATGCACCGATACCATTTTGTCAGTATCGAGTAAAAGTACCGATATTTATATTTCCAATACCGCGAGTACCGATACTGGTACTTCCGCTAGCATGGAGCCGGCTTCCCGGGCAATCAGCATGGAGCCGGCCAAACAGCATGGAGCTGGCTCCCCAGCCAAAGCCGGGTGGCAAGTCATTACCTGCTGTCTGGCTTCCTGATTGTCTGGTAAGCCGGCTCCATGTTCCCTTGCGGCACTGGCGGTCAGAGGAAATCTCCCTCTGATCGGAAGGTCCAGTATCAGGGGTAAGTATCAGAGCATTTGGCCGAGTAAGAGTACTCGCCCAAATACTCGGTATCGGGACCGATACCCGTATCGATAGCGGTGCATCCCTAATTGTCGCACATAAAAACACATGATAAAACACCCTTAAAAACAAAAATCCCATTTATTCCTATGGCCCCTGTTCACATCTGAGTGTTTGCCAAAAGCTGTAAAACGCCTGTCACTGGAAAAAGTACATGAGCTTCTTTTTGGCAGATTACAGCGCGTTTCGTCATCAAAGACTTAATTGGAAATGCGCGACGCAATTATTTTTGCTTTTGGCCGCATTTGATGTGTTTGCCCATTTACATCAACGTGTCACAACAAATAGAAACATGCGAAAGCACTGTCTCCTAGGTGTGAATGATTTATACTCATATGTCCAGGTGGAAACAAGTGATGAAGATATAAATACATGTCAAGGCTTGCTTTTTTTTTAAATGGAAAAATATACTTTACTTTATATAATAAAACATATCAAAAAGAAGATAGTCGAGGCTTGCTGATGCCCCTTCTGTCCCTCCTGCTTGCTGATGCCCCTTCTGTCCCTCCTGCTTGCTGATGCCCCTTCTGTCCCTCCTGCTTGCTGATGCCCCTTCTGTCCCTCCTGCTTGCTGATGCCCCTTCTGTCCCTCCTGCTTGCTGATGCCC